AGATAGTTGTGACGGAGTAACTATCTCTCTCACTCTTTTCAGGGCTCTTTCTACCACACTGTGTATTGAGTCTCCCTCAGACTGGCCATGATTTGTTTCAAAATAAAATATCACAACCTCTTCTATATATTTAGCTTTGTTGATACAATCCATTAGCATTGCACAAACAATCGAATTTTTATTTTGGGCCCCACAGCCGTCACAAAATAAAAATACTTGTTTGTATTTCTTAGCATTATACTCTCGAAGAAAGTGAGCCAAATTAGAACTGATTTTGTTGGCCCCTCTTTTGGCCAGGCCTTCTTGCCATCAATAACAATAGCCTTGGTTGGTTTTAACATCATATATTGTAAAGTTGTAATTTGATAAGCGTCTCTTGTAAAACAGCTCTCCTCGATCACTCTTTGGTAAAAAGATAACTTGTTGTAAATCAAAACAACCAACGAAAGCATCATCATCGGTATCTTCCTTTAAATCACGTTTAATGGATCTGATCTTCTGTTTCTCTCGTGTACGACGATTAAATTCAGCCACAAGCCTCGTTTTTTCTTCTTCCGATGCTTTATAAAACATTTCACACAGACCACACAGATCTTTTTTTTGGTCTTGTAAATTTCAAATTCAAACTCTTGAAAACCTTATAGTAAAATGAAAGGTTAACTTTGTCATCAGTAGTGTGTTCAGCCGTGTACATTTCAAACATTTTGGAGACAGTCAATTCGTCCGAAAGATATTCACATGAACTATTGGCTCGGACATAATGCGACTCCATGCGTGGAAAGCGATTGATATGGTTTTTCACAAGGTTCCTAATTCGCGTGTCTCTTGTTGATTGATTTGCTGACCGACCACCTCTATTTTCTCCTTCAACTGTTCCCTCAGCGTTCGTCTTAATAACGGTATTGAACATGCGATCAGAAACATTAACTGTATTTACAAACATGACATGACAGACACGTGCAGTATCTCCACTTTCATCAATTGGTAGGTAATAAGACAAGGTGCGTGTTTTTCTGCTGTTTTCTTTGGCTGTGGATGGTTTGGAAGACTTTATATGTCTTGACAACTAGTTTCGTTGTTCTGTTAAAGAGACCTGATCATAAAAGCTGGACAAAATAACGTTTCTTCTGTCTTCAGTAATTAGTTCGCACCCAAGACCCTTTTTAGAGCATTTATTACTGTTGCATCCCTGTTTTAAAATCTTTTTGGCTGGTTTTTCTACACCAGACACTGTTGTATATTCAGATCCTGTTAATTTTACTTGTAACTTCCTGCTGTTTGCGGGAGGTTCTTGTAAATGACCTTAAAGTATGCTGCTTTAAACATGAATGCAATATATGCAATAAATCTGGCCAATTCTACTTAGGAACATTAGGCTATTACAAATACTTCTTTGTGTGAATTTGTACGAATTTACTCAGTTTTTGGACGAAATTACTCAGTTTTTGGACGAAATTGTAAAGCGTGACGATAGGGTAACAGCCTCTAAATATAGGCCTCACGTGACCTAGTGACCAAGGGGCTTAACTCTGCTCTAACGTAGGTTGCTGTCTATGCCTGTGGGAATATAATACAACAAACATGATCATAATATGCTATGATAAACTTAGATCTACTACTAATGGTAAAAGTGGACCTTCGTCAAGACATGGAACAGGAATAATCTGCGAGGGAAATCAAATAGTGCTTGAGTGATTATTTCTTTTGCTACGTTAAGGCATTCAGGCCTAATAAAATTATTAGAAAACAGGTAGGCCTAATATAATATGGCTATAAATGTGGGGGTTTAAAATGAAAAGGTATTCTTACTGATTCTTACCTTGCTGGTCGAATAAGGCTCTACGGCGAAAACAAACGTGACTCTAGGCTTCAATGTATCTAAATGGCGATTAGGCCAAATCAGGAGATTATAAGTAATATAACGGGATATTTGATTGGTCTGGAAGACGCCAGATTAAACAAAGTTGGTTATTCGGCAGTTAGCAGAAAAGTTCTCATAAAGTAAGGCGAGAAATTTCTTTCCGCGAACTCACGAATAACATTATTCGTCACTTTGCCAAAGTATAAACTTAACTTTTACATATTCGTCAAATTTTGTTTTCCAATTATGTTTTATATTTATTGGTTTGTAATAATTATCTTGGCATTGTCTTAAATGGCATTGAAAGAGCTTCCATTTGATATAAAAAAGTATATTTCAACAATATACTCTTATTCGCCGGAACAGCGACGAATTTTAGTGAATTATTAAGGATTTTGGATGGTTGTCATAGCAACCACATAATTTTAAAAAACGGACAACTGTTGTTTCATTATCATTGTTCTCAGCATTCGTTTCTTACATTATTGTTAGAATTCTGCTTTTACATATTATTTTCTACTCAGAAGATAACATTGACCAATAAAAAATTATTCTCTAAAGACTAAAGAGTAAAAGAAGGTTACTCATTTACTTATAGGCTATGGTAGGCCTAGTCTGGCAGTAATTATCGAAAATCGGTGAAAATCAATAGGATTCTTTGTCTCATGACATTAAACACTGTGTATAAATTTAAAGTCAATCAGATATTAACTTTGGCCTTTAGAGCGTCCACAAGATTTTTCAAAGTGATCAAGGGCCATAACTCTGGCATTAATTATCGTAAATCGCTGATAATCAATAGGCTTCTTCGTCTCATAACCTTAAACACTGTGTATAAATTTAAAGTCAATCAGGTATTAACTTTGGCCTCTAGAGTATCCACAAGATTTTTCAAAGTGAGCAAGGGCCATAAATCTGGCAGTAATTATCGGAAATTGCTAAAAGTCAATAGGATTCTTTGTCTCATGACCTTAAACACTGTGTATGAATTTAAAGTCAATCGGATATTAACTTTGGCCTCTAGAGCGTCCACAAGATTTTTAAAAGTGATCAAGGGCCATAACTCTGGTAGTAATTATCGGAAATCGCTGAAAATCAATAGGCTTTTTCGTCTCATGACCTTAAACACTGTGTATAAATTTAAGATCAATCGGATATTAACTTTGGCCTCTATAGTGTCCGCAAGATTTTTCAAAGTGATCAAGGGCCATAACTCTGGCAGTAATTATCGGAAATCGTTGAAAATCAATAGGCTTCTTCGTCTCATGACCTTAAAGTGATCAAGGGCAATAACTCTGGCATTAATTATCATAAAATCGCTGAAAATCAATAGGCTTCTTCGTCTCATAACCTTAAACACTGTGTATAAATTTAAAGTCAATCGGATATTAACTTTGGCCTCTAGAGTGTCCACAAGATTTTTTTTTAAGTGATCAAGGGCCATAACTCTGGCAGTAATTATCGGAAATCTCTGAAAATCAATAGGGTTCTTCGTCTCATGATCTTAAACACTGTGTATAAATTTAAAGTCAATCGGATATTAACTTTAGCCTCTAGAGCGTCCACAAGCAATTGTGGACGCCAGACGGGGGCGACGACAATATACGACCACATTTAAATGTGGGCGTATAAAAATAATATTAAAAATAGGAACCGCAGCCGAGCACTTGAAGTGGGGTACCCTCATTTCAAAACGTGACAAAAATTTTCAGCGTAACGTCAAAACACGGGAAATTGACGTTTTTCAACTTACGTTTATGAAATTAATAAAATGAACACATATATAAAAACTATACCAAGCAAAAGAACAGGATATCGGCTTCCAAAATATTTTAAAATTATTACAAAATATTAAATAGCCACCTTATGACGTTAAGCTGAAAAAGGGTTACAAATCGGGAAAAAATGACTTTCTTCCAACGCGGGCAATGGAGCTGTGACACCTACTTTTACACTATTTGCGTACCAGGATCAGCCATTTTGCCCAGCAGTTTCGGTCAGATTTTTACCAAATTTGAACTCAACCTTCATTGATGTGTAGCAGTGATATATTTAAACGTTTTTTAAAATTGAATACAAATTGTGACTTCTAGCTGGTCCACAAGCTAAAAATGCAATTTTTCGAACAATCAGGGGATATAATCCAGGAAGTTACATTCAGATATGTTTGTTTATCGAAAGGAACCAAAATCTTTGCGATATAAACATGCATTCCAAGTTTCATCAAAATCAGATCAAAATTGTGGCCTCTATTGGGTCCACAACTTTGATATACCATCTTTTGTCCTACAGTTTTAGTCCGATTTTCACGTAATACGAATTCAACCATCATCAGGATGTAACGATGATATATTCAAACGTTTTTTTAAATCGGTTAAAAATTGTGACCCCTAGAGGGACCACAAGCTAAAATCAAGGGTCATAATTCAGTAAGTTACAATCCGATATGCGCGGATATTGAAAGGAACCAAGATCTTTGGGTTATAAACATACATTTCAAGTTTCATCAAAATCAGAAGAAAATTGTGACCTCTGGAGTGTCTACAAACTAAACACAAGATTTTCCGTACAATCAGGGGTCAAACCCAATTAAGTTATGGTCTGATACATGCCAATATCAAAAGGAACCGAGATCTTTGGAAGTCACCTATATTTCTTCAGTCAGTTATATATAACTATAAGAGTAACTCATGTTTTTTATTTTTTTTCGTCACTTCCTGTTTCTTCAAATCTTCGTTACTGATTTACCATAGCATTGATCTCTGCGTTAAAATTATATTTAACCAGTTCTATATGGCCAACATCAACATTGTCCTTTAACTAGTTTAAGGCCTGATCTGTAACTGAAAATTCAATTAGCATTTTTCACTAATTTGGGTAAATTCTTCCTTACAAATAACAGTCTGGCCCAATTTTATTTTAGCCATCTTGGGGCATCCATTGAAATATATCTCAAATATAATTAAATGGCAATCATATTTCAATCTATCTGTGCCATCCAATAGTTTAGAGAGTTGATTATAGGCTTGTCAACATGAATAAATGTCTAAATAATAATTTATATAACATTTTAAGCCAAAATAATTTAACCTGTAGTAATAGGCAGATTTAGCTCTTACATAATGCATCTTTAACTTACCTATCTTATTTTCTATAACTTTAATAGCTGCTCTGTAATGGTCTATAGATTCATCATACTGTTGGTTAAAACCATATGCCAGGCCCAACTGATAATGACTAAACCATTCAATAAATAGAAACATTAGTACAGTAGCTCAGATTTTTGGCAGGGTATATATAAACCTTAAACTTAAAGTAGTAATAAACAAGCCAACAGTAAGGGCTGATGTCCCCCGCCGAAATCCTCAAATAAATAGAGACACATTAATTAATCGCACATGTATTTTTTTCAAAAGTATCAAGCAATCAAACTGATTATCAACTATACACTAAGTTTCATCACTCTCTATCAGATAGAATCAAAGTTATCTTGTCCCAAAGCATCGACCAAGGAAATTGCTTATCTCTGCTTAGCTTTAGCTCGATATGTTAATTATTGAACTCAGTCAAAACGAACATCTACATCAAGTTTAAACATTCTACCTCAATTAGAAGAAGAGTTTGACCAATCAACATGCTTATTGCTCGTTGGCCTAAGCAAAAAATTCTCATCATCGAACTTAGTCAAGGTATTGATGTAATGAACTATACACCAAGTTTCATCACTCTCACTTAATTAGAACTAAAGTTATCGTGTTCCACTTCCAAAGCATCAACCAATCAAATTGCTTATCTCTGCTTACCCTAAGCAGAAAATGATCATCTTCGCACTCCATCAAGGCATTGACCTCATTAACCCCTACACCAAGGTTGAACATTCTAGCTCAATTAGAAGGAGGGTTATTGTGTTCCAAAGTCTTGGCCAATCAAATTGCTTATCGCTCTGCTTACCCTGAGCAGAAAATGCTCATCATCGAACTAAGTCAAGGTATTGATGTAATGAAACTATACACCAAGTTTCATCACTCTCACTTAATTGGAACTAAAGTTATCGTGTCCCAAAGCATCAACCAATCAAATTGCTTATATTTGCTTACCCTAAGCCGAAAATGCTTATCTTCGCACTCCATCAAGGCATTGACCTAATAAACACCTACATCAAGTTTAAACATTCTACCTCAATTAGAAGAAGAGTTTGACCAATCAACATGCTTATTGCTCGTTGGCCTAAGCAAAAAATTCTCATCATCGAACTTAGTCAAGGTATTGATGTAATGAACTATACACCAAGTTTCATCACTCTCACTTAATTAGAACTAAAGTTATCGTGTTCCACTTCCAAAGCATCAACCATATCAAATTGCTTATCTCTACTTACTCTAAGCAGAAAATGCTCATCTTCACATTCCATCAAGGCATTGACCTAATAAACACCTACCCCAAGTTTGAACATTCTAGGTCAATTAGAAGGAGAGTTATTGTGTCCCAAAAAGTGTGACGGACGCACGGACGGATGGACGGACGGACGGACGGACAGACAGACAGACCCATTTCAATAGTCCCCTGCTTTCTTCGAAAGGCGGGGGTCAATTAATGGGCAAAAAAACTATAACTGGGTATTAGGGGGAGATGGTGGGCCTATCTTGACTACATATTAAAACGATAGCCATGCAAAGCGTGGAAATATGTCCATACAGCAGCTATGTCTCTCTCCCCTTAATACCTGGTTTAGAGTGAAATACATGTAGTTTTAAATTATGTGCACCATTTTGCTGCAATATTCTATGAATTTTTGGCTTGCGGATTTTATACCAGTACCGTATTTTTCGGTGTATTAGGCGCATGCGTTGATAAGGAGCAGGGCGAGTTTGGCAGAGGTGTTTCAGGAAAAAATAAAAGTGCATGGTTTAGATGCACTCTTCTCCAGAGGCTTGTGTAACACTTGCCATACTATACGTGATTCAAATACACCTGCGATCTGTTTACAGTTATAATAATTACCGATATTTAGCCATATAAAGCTTTATATTTATTTCTTTATGAAATAAAAAAACTCTATATACATTTTTTTGAATTGCATAAGACTTTATATTAATTGACTTTCAATTGAATTGTTTCATAACTTAAATGAAAATTCTGGCGCTCGTACGGTAGTCTATTTGTTGATAAAGTCCCGCCCCCAACAATCATGGCCGTCTATTATATCCTGTTAAATTCACAAGCAATTGGCTGTGATAAATGAATAAGTATTGATGATAAACAAATGAAATAATAATTGTAGAAATAATTTATTAGGATCAGCTACTCATGACAATACCTAGATTGTAGTCATTTAAATCTATCAGTAACATAATACAATAGCAATTTTAATACCAATCAAAGAAACAATGATTTGGTGAACTACAAACAACTTAACAAGGCATACGGGTGACAACTCACCAGTAGATAATTAACGATACCAGTAAATTATAACAATGGATCAATAAGTCAATCTATGTTGCATGAAAACATCGGCAACTTGAAATGACTAGATGTAACAGTTACAGCAATGTATAGAAAATACCAACTAACCTTCTATCAGAAATTGTTTATTCAGAATGACTACAAGACAAACCGCTAACGTGTATGGTAACAGTGTCGAGGCTTGTGAATTTAATTTGGATGAGTCAAACGCAAGACGGCTATGAGTTAGGAGCTTAATGACATAAACCAAATAAAGAAGCAAATGGATGGAACGCCGCACGTTATCCACAAATTGAGGAAGAATTGGTTGACTGTCAATGACCAACATCGAGAAGATTTGCCGTTTCCACGACAGGTTAGACTGAAGAACTTCAAAATATGTCAGTAACTGTAATACCACCCTTAAATATTTTAACCGTATCTAAAAGGTCATTGACAAATATGGACAATGTTTAATCTATCTAAAACATTGACAAATATAAATGGGCACGAAAGGGAACAGTATTGTATTTATTTTGAGTGATAATATATCATAAACTTTTGAGGTAGCGTCACCCGGCCGACATGTGTTGATTCTAGGGCAGTTATTTCTTGAACTCCCAACTTCGATGTCAACACGGGAAAAGCCTGGATTTGCTTAACGTTATGTATTAGGACACCCCTTCTAGAAAATAAATTATTTGGTAAAAAAAAAGTGTGAAAAATACGGTACTGTTTAATAAAGAAGGTGTTGCTGATGACAGTAGATTGTGCCCTGGTCAATTTGGAAAAGAAAGTTTAGTTGGGTGAAAGATAGGTTGCCAGGCAATGTAACATACGCCCACAGCAGCTAAGTCAACAAGGGTTGTCGCATATTTTCTCTCAGAATTTGTTTGGCATCATCTAGCTCTGCCACACACTAACATTGTACAAAACTTTCAATATCATGAATTTAGTTTTTCAAGTGTAATGAGTGTATTACTACCACTCAACCCGATTATCGTTGATAATAGGCTGAATTGATTAGGTAATTAAGTGATCAACGTATTCATCGTTTTATACCGTCTATACACCTACCTTGATTAACTACTTAATCTACCTTGATTGGCTGACTTAATTCTTTGTCGGACAATGAATCAATTCAATCATGAACAGAAGTCATTGCTTCTCCTTAGTCGGACTATATATCAATCTAATAAACTTAATCTAAGTGATTAACCTGTGATTTCTCAATTGTCTCACGTTTTAATCTCCTTGATGTCGGCCATAGACATTAGTCATATATGTCACATATCCTAATAGTACATAACACCCAAAATCAATATACATTGTGTCCGATAAATTGTCTGTGATATGTCTTCAGTGTAAGCCGAAGTTAAATAAAGCTATTTCACACACACGCAAAATGAAAGTAGAAATCTCGCGAGACACATGGAATTAAGAGGTGTTAAAGTGCCGAATCTAATAAGTCTGATGTCGGGAGAAACGATTCTATTTTGATGGCATATCGTCGGATTTATGATCATATTTTGAATGGGGTTTATGTTTTTAAATAAATAAACTCACTAAGAAATGTTGACGAATATTTCGATTGGATAACATAAGTAGTTACGGTAATTGTTTTAGACGATAGCGCGTGCTTAGAGTCGAATGGGATTATTTAGCAGCTGGTGGAAAAGGTGATTTTGAGATTATGATTATACATATGATTTTATTGGCTTTTCATGTAGATCTCATCATTCTTCTCACAAAACTTTTTATAGATTCAAAATCGGATGAAATTTTTTTTTTATTATTATTATTGAGGCTCAAAGTTGCGATTTTAGACTTTTCGCGGAAGAAGTTTTTCAACACTTTGAAAAAGTCATTTTTGTTTTTTGTGATGCCATATTTCATTTCATATCAAAACTATCACACATTTAGATTCATGAAATACAACTTTAAGGCTAATTATGTTTTGATTTTCACATTTGTGTAACAATTACTCGGATTTCCCCAGCAACTCCAAAATACATAGGTTTTCTCAAAAATTATATTTTGTCAAAGTGATTTTGGCCAATTTTTTCATCAACCAGCGGCTGCCAGGCAGAATACGCCCACATTTTCGAGAGATGGATAGAGAACAAGCTAAAAAGAAAGGGATTTTTCCTACAATCAAGAGCCATAATTCAGGAAATTACAATGCGATATGCGCAAATATCGAAAGGAACCGAAATCTTTGGGTTATAAACTTACATTTCAAGTTTCAACAAAATCAGATAAAAATTGTGACCTCTATAGGGTCCACAACCTTGATATACCATATTTTTAAGCTATTTGAGAACGAGGGGCGGCCATTTTGTCTGTCAGTTTTGGGCCTATTTTCACGAAATTCGAACTTAGCCATCCTTAGGGTGTAACGGTGATATAATAATACGTTTTTTTTAAATCGGATAAAAATTATGACCTCTATAGGGTCCACAAGCTAAAAACACGATTTTTGGTACAATCAGAGGCCATAATTCAGGAAGTTACGGTCTGATATGCGCGAATATCGAAAGGAACCGAGATCTTTGGATTATCAACTTAGATTTCAAGTTTGAACAAAATCGGATAAAAATTGTGACCTCTATAGTGTCCACAAGCTAAAAACGTGATTTTTCGTACAAACAGGGGCCATAATCCATGAAGTTTCGATCCGATACATGCCAATATCGAAAGGAACCTGGTTGTTATGCATTTTAAAATCAGTATCTATCAAGTAAGGTTAACAGAAAAAAAAATAGTAAAAATATCTATATGCCTTCTCTCAAGGGCTGGATATATGTTCATTTTTTAACAATTGTCCGTGGCACACAATTGCCTACTTTTGGGGCATTTTGGGGACATTAATAAAATAAGAAGGAATGGAGATACAAAAGTGAAATTCTGGGGATATGTCAAAAAGTTTGTGAATTTTTAAAATTACATATTTCCAATCTGCCATATGTTATTAATTTTGGTTGTCATAGCAACCAAAATGGAAAATTTTCAATGCTATTTACCATAACCCAAAAGTTGATCACATTTAAAAATAAGCATTTTAAAATATTTGAAACCTATGTAATGTCAAATGATATGGATTGTATAAGTTTGAGCAAAATATTAAGGAGTTTGAGTGGTTACCATAGCAACCACTGTATATATTTTTTTTTAAAACGAATGTTTTTCCGATAATTTTCTCATTAATATTAATTTTTATATTATTTTAAGTCAGTACCTATAGAGCAAGATTGAACAAATAAATAATAACAAAATATTTATATGCCATCTCTTTATACGCTGGAAAGGGGTTCACTTTTAACAAAATTCCGCAATTGGAAATTGCCCAATTTTCAGCCTAAAAAAAAATGTGATGGAATTGAGATTTTCAAGTGAAATTTTGTGTACAGGTCAAAAAGTTTGTGATTTTTTAAGATTACATACTGGGCTAATGAAGACGGGCATACGCCATACAGTGTGCTATGAGGGAAATTTTGCCCGGGCAGCGACACTATCACCTACTCTTATATCAAATTCCAACTGCCAAGGGATCTTTTTTTTCGTGCATTCAAATGTATACACGGGACCTAGGTTTTTCGTCTCATCGAAAGACTAGACAGCTGTCCTTGTCAGGCCCTCAGTCCTGCATCACTGACAAGGGGAAACCACGCCGGAAAATCGGGATGAACTTTCTCGACCAATGCAGGGATCGAACACCCGACCTCCAGGCTAGCGAGCCAGCGTCTTAAGCGGTGGACACACTAGCCGAATGATTCGGCCGAATCGTTGGGCGTCGAAATTCGCCTAGTGTGTCCACTGTCATTCGGCCGAATGATTCGCCCGAATCAAACAGGTTTGATATATTAGCCAATCACCACTCATATCGAGAAGTCATGTGATAGATTGAAGACATAGACGCCGCCATGTTTAATCATGTGACGTGAAAGGTGATGCAACCGACAGGTTGAATCGGGTGAAGCATTCGGCTAGTGTGTCCACCCATTCGGCCGAATAAAATTCGGCACCGATTGATTCAGCCGAACGATTCGGCTAATGTGTCCACTGACTTAGCCACGTGATCCCCCAATAGTTTAAAGAAAGCAGTTCATATATTTAACACCAGTGTAATATCAAGCGATGGAAATTGTACAATTTTGACTATAAAATGAAGGAGTTTAGGTGGTTGCCACGGCAACAACATTATCATTTTTGTTCAAAATCAATAGGATTCTTCGTCCCATGACCTTAAATACTGTATAATAAGTCAATCGGATATTAACTTTACGCTTGTGGACCCTGGACGAACGGGGGCTACGACAATGTACGACCACATTTCAATATGAGCGTATAATAAAAAGGATGAGCAGAACCACATCATGTAAGTGAGGTCACTGGAAGGCAAGTCCTTCCATGGATCCAAACCAATGGCAGATGGAAAGAACTGACATGGACAGGGCACTGGCCCAGGACAGCTTACTCGGTATGACCGTGACGGTCATGGGATACTGGCCTACTATACCGGGGAAGAAATAATGGACGATATGAAGGATAGGGAGTATGACGTTACTGAGGGATACAGGTTTAGAGTGGCCGAGGGGAAGAACCAGGTAACCGTTGCCCTGACCTTCACGAAAGGAACATATCGCCGCAACATAAGTGGAGTGAGCACACTACACGACAACTTTGGTGATCACGATTACAGCCAGCTCTTATTTCAAATTCCAACTGTCAAGGGTTCTTTTACATGCACGCAATCCCGTACAAGGAATAAGTAAAATTCAAACCTTTCTGCTATTAATCTGTCTTCTGGTGAAAGATGTTTTTCTTGTATTTGTAAACAGTCTTTAAAGTCTGATATCGCTTGTTCATATCGTTCTGTTTCTAAACTCACTTCACCTAGTTTTAGATATGACTGGGCCGCTCGAAGCTGAGCTTCTTTAGCACTATCTCTATAAATTAAAACGTAAGTGAAGCAGAAATCAAAGTTTGGCTCATGATACACAGAGGTCACATTTTGTACTCCCAAAATTGTAACAAGATATTAGGGTGAGCCACAAAATATTTTCCAACAATTATCAGACCATAACAGCAACCACACATAATACAATCATTGTTTTTTTAGGCAATAGATCAAGCGTCTGAATACTGAATAGTGATAGAGGTTTTTGTCCAGTACCTTATAATTGAAAATCTCTTCCCATAATAATGTACGTGTGACTCATTATGCCAGCACGAGTCACATATATTGATATTTATGCTACAATGCAATATTCATATAAGAAGCCTCAACTTAGTTTCCCAGATTTAACTGAACACCACATACTTACTTTAAATAAATCATTTTAGCCAACTCCAACATTTCCCATGCTAGCTGTAAATTTGAAACATCTTCAGGATCTTCCTAAAACATGGAAATAAAGGGTTATGATACAATTAGTTATATTACAATAAGACTTTAACTGAAGGTAAATTGGGTTTCCATGGTTACTAATTGGTGAGGTTACTGGGGTTGGCCTCTTGGCGGTGGGTTTACAAATTTTTTATCAGGGTCGGTAGCTTGCTTACCGGGGTTGTATAGAGGTTATACAACTGATTGTTTAGATTGAAGTGCTAGTGTCGGTTACGTGCGGTCACGCCAGCTCAAAAACATGTGACCGATTTCCTGGTTACGCAAATTGAAATATCGGTTACATTAACAAATTTATTCACATTTGATCAATTTTTATACAGGATGACTTTGTGACACAGGTCAAATTATTAGTATTATAGCACAAACTTCATTCATTCTAGGCATTTTCTCCATCTTACCCGTACTTTGACATCACCTATTGACCAGTTGCAAGCAGGTTGATTTAAAATTAATAAAAATGCCCCCCCCCCCCAATTCTTTAAATGATTAATTATGCCATAAATATTTGAAAGCGTACCTTTGGATTTTCAAATACAAAATGAGTTTGATTATTTAACACGTCAACTATATTTCCAAAGAATTTACTACACGTGTTCCTTTGCTTTATAGCCATATGCTGTGCGGTAGTACCAATGACCCCTATGTATGTCGTCAACTCTGACTTCCCCCCACCCCACCCCCCCAGCATCGCTTGAGTGATAATGTAAACGATTTTACTGTCCTGCCTATTTTAATAATATTTCAATTCAACACATCAAACTATTCTGTTTCCTTTTGAGACTTTGTTTATAGAGTGCTCAGTTAATAAATACTGTCGCTACTTATGAGTGAGCCTATCTCATGCTACATGCTTGAAAGAATAATTACAAATGACAAATGCAATATGAAGTATGTATGTGGTCTTCAGTGACCGAAAACAATGTGGTAGCTACCATTCCCGGTTTTTGAAGGTCATATATGATATAAAGATAGGTTGCCAGGCAACGAAACATACGCCCACAGCAGCTATATCGTCTGGGCAGTAAACAAGAGTTGTTGCATATTTTTACTTTTTTTGGTAACAAAACATTTATAATACACTAAAATCTGATTAAGAGTAACAACTCATTAAGTAATTATCAGAAAACCATTAGAATTTGTTTGGTGTTTATAAAGTTCTGCCCCATGCTAACGTTTAGTATACAAAACTTTTAATATCATGGATTTAGCTGTTCAAGTCTTTTATAAAAATTCATTGAAAATCAATACTTGGTCGTCTCAAGATCTTAAACTCTGTGTATCAACCTGAAGTCAATCGGATGATAACTTTAGCCTCTAGAGCGTCACAAGTGATCAAGGGCCATAACTCTGGTAGTAATTATCAGAAATAGCTGAAAATCAAAAGGCTTCTTCGTCTCATGACCTTAAACATTGTGTGTATAAATTTAAAGTCAATCAGATATTAACTTTAGCCTCTAGAGCGTCCACAAGATTTTTTGAAGTGATCAAGGGACATAACTCTAGCAGTAATTATCGGAAATCGCTGAAAATCAATAGGCTTCTTCGTCTCATGACCTTAAGCACAGTGTATAAATCGGATATTAACTTTTACCTCTAGAGCATCCACAACATTTTTTGAAGTGATCAAGAGCCATTACTCTAGCAGTAATTATCGAAAATCGCTGAAAATCAATAGGCGTCTTCGTCTCACTGTATATAAATTTAAAGTCCATCGGATATTAACGGGGCAACGACAATATACGATCACATTTCAATGTGGGCGTATAAAAAGCGATTTTTTGTACAATCAGGGGCCATAATTCAGGAAGCTATGATCCGATATGCGCAAATATCAACAGCAACCAAGATCTTTGGGTAATAAGCATGCATTTCAAGTTTCATCAAAATTGGATCAAAATTGTGAGCTCTAGAGGGTTCACAACCTTGATATACACCATATTTTTACACTGTTTGCGTTCGAGAGGCGGCCATTTTGTCCGGCAGTTTTGGTCCGATTTTCATGAAACAGTGATATATTCAAATATTTTTTTTAAATCGGAATAAAAGTGTGACCTCTAGAGGTACTTAAAGCTGAAAATGCGATTTTTTGTACAATCAGGGGCCATCATTCAGGAAGTTACGATCCGATATGCCCAAATATCGTAAGGAACTAAGATCTTTGGGTTATAAACTTACATTTCAAGTTTCATCAAAATCAGAAGATAATTGTGACCTATAGATGGTCCACAACATTGATATACCATATTTTTTTTACACTATGTGGGTACGAGGGGCGGTCATTTTTTCTGTCAGTTTTGGTCCGATTTTTACAAACTTCGTACTCAACCATCCTTAGGGTGTAATGGTGATTTATTCAAACGGTTTTATAAATCGGATAAAAATTATCAGGGGCCATAATTCAGGAAGTTACGGTCCGATATGCGCGAATATCGAAACGAACTGAGATCTTTGGGTTATAAACTTACATTTCAAGTTTAAACCAAATCGGATAAAAATTGTGACCTGTACAGTGTTCACAAGCTAAAAACGTGGTAAAGTGGTAATTTGGCATAAAATCTAAACGCCTTAAGTAATTAAACACTCTGTTCATTTCTTGACAACGTCCGGGAAAATAAAGGCATTGTCTAACCAACATCTGTCAGGCAGGATACGCCCACATTCAAGAGATGGATAGAGAACAAGCTAAGAAGAAAGTGATTTTTCTTGCAATCAAGGGCCATAATTCAGGAAATTACAATTCGATATGCGCAAATATCGAAAAGAACCGAGATCTTTGTGTTATAAACTTACATTTCAAGTTTCAACAAAATCGGATAAAAATTGTGACTAGATATACCCTATTTTTACGCTATTTGAGAACGAAGGACGGCCATTTTATCTGTCAGTTCTAGGCCGATTTTCACGAAATTCGAATTCAGTCGTCCTTAGGGTGTAACGGAGATATAATAATACAGTTTTTAAATCGGATAAAAATTATGATCTCTATAGGGTCCACAAGCTAAAAATGCGATTTTTCATACAATCAGGGGCCATAATTCAGGAAGTTACGGTCCGATATGCTGGAATATCGAAAGGAACCAAGATCTTTGGGTTTTAAACTTACATTTCAAGTTTCAACAAAATCGGATTAAAATTGTGACCTCCATTGGGTCCACAAGCTAAAAACGTGATTTTTTGTACAATCCGGGGCCATAATCCATGAAGTTTCGATCTGATACATGCCAATATCGAAAGCAGCCGAGATCTTTTGGGGATAAACCTATATTTCAAGTTTCGTCAAAATCGGATAAGAATTGTGACCTGTAGAGAGTCGACAAACAATTGTGGACGGACGGACGGACAGGGGCGACGGCATAATACGTCCACATGAATATGTGGGCGTATAAAAACTAAACCCCTTTCAAATCTAAATGGTAGTGTTCATTTCTAAAAAACACCCTGAGAAACTGGACGGTTGTAAAGCAGACGATCGATGTCAAAAGTAAACGGTGTTTCTTAATCTACACGGTAGCACAAACTGGGTGGTTTTTGATGAATCTTGATGGCATTTAACACATTCTTGATGACAATCTATCAGCTGGATACGTGTATTAAATTCTAGATAATAAAGGTACATGTAGTTTCTTTCCTTTTTTCGTTAAATCTGTACAATACCTGGTCCCTAGTGGAGGGATGGCCATTTTGTCTGTCAGTTTTGGTCCGATTTTTACGAAATTCGAACTCAAATGTTTTTTTATTTTAATCGGATAAAAATTATGACCTCTATAGGATTCACAAGCTCAAAATGCTATTTTTAGTACAATCAGGGGCCATAATTCAGAAAGTTATAGTCCGATATGCGCGAATATCAAAAAGAACCCAGATCTTTGGAATATGAACATATCTTAAGTTCCATCGAAATCGAATAAAATTGTGACCTGTGCAGTATCCACAAACAACACAACTAAATAATGCCCGAGTTGTAGTGTATGATGTAACGGTGATATATTTGTTTTTTTCTTTTAAATAAGATAAAAACTGTCACCTCTATCCACAATATAAAAACACAATTTTTCATACAATCGGGGATATTCAGGGGCCATAATCCTCAAAGTTATGGTCTGATATGCATGAATATCAAAATGAACCAAGATCTTTGGAATATAAACATATCTTAAGTTCCATCAAAATCGAATAAAAATTGTGACCTGTGCAGTATCCACAAACAAAATGTGGACCTGTACGGGGCGAGGACAAGATACTTTTACACAATTTGCATATGGGGAGCGGTTATTTTGTTGGATAGTTTTGTTCCGATTTTCAATAAATTCGAATTGAACCATCATTATAGTGTAACAATGATATATATGGATCATTCCATGAAGTTGACACCTAAAGTGTGACATGGGCATTAAAATTTCAAAACGTATTTGGAGAGTAAATAACACATTGTTTTGTTTTGAATGTTTCCTAATATACCAATGTGGTAAAAATACCAGCGGCTGCCAGGCAGGATACGCCCACATTTTCGAGAGATGAATAGAGAACAAGCTAACAAGAAAGTGATTTTTCCTACTATCAAGGGCCATAATTCAGGAAATTACAATTCAATATGCGCGATTATCTTTGTGTTATAAACTTACATTTCAAGTTTCAACAAAATCGGATAAAAATTGTGACCTCTATAGGGTCCACAAGCTAAAAACGCGATTTTTCGTTCAATCAGGGGCCATAATCCATCAAGTTATGGTCCGATATATGCCAATATTGAAAGGAACCAAGATCTTAGGGAGACAAACCTATATTTCAAGTTTCATTGAAATTGGATAAAAATTGTGACCTGTAGAGTGTCCACAAACAAATTGTGGACAGACAAACAGGGGCCATGGCATAATACGTTAACATGAAAATGTGGGCGTGTAAAAATTGTCACCTGTAGTGTGTCCACAAATTGTGGACGGACATCCCCACGGACAGGGGCGACAATATACGTCCACATGAAAATGTGGGTGTATAAAAACGTTTTTTGACTGAAGCTCCGAGCATGGTGTCCTACAGAAATTAGCAGCTTTTGGATTGAACCTGTGAGCATGGTGGCCTACAGTAATTAGTTCTTTTCAGACTAAACCTGTGAGTATGGTGTGCTATAGTACATAGCTGTTTTCGCATTGAGCCTTGGAGCATGTATGAGAATTTTAAGAATGGGTGAGATTATACAGTTGATTCTCATGCAGTTTAAGAGTGAAAGATTATAATGTCTCATATACTACCTCATCGGTTTTACCCTCTCCATCCTCTCCTTCATTTTCAGCTGCGTCTCCTTCATCCTCTTTATCTTCTTCATCTTCCATAATCTCTTCTTCATCAACATCATCTTTCTTATCATCTTCAGGCTTTTTATCATTTAGTGTTTCTGAAAAACAAAATAAATAGTAATACTTTACACTACATGTTTTCCATACTGGTTCAATTACTTTCATAAAACTAGTAAAATTGTTTTTCTGAAATTCAACTCAACTGTCATTATGGTGTAAAGGTGATATATTTAATTTGTTTTTAAATTGGATAAATATTGCGAGGTCTTGAGGGTCCACAAGCTAAAAACTTGATTTTTCGTACAACTACATGAATAAATCGACATGTTCGAATAATTTTATTAAAAAAAATGAAAGATAGGTTGCCAGGCAACAAAACATACGCCCACAACAGCTAAATAGTCCGAGCCGTCGACAAGGGTTGTCACATATTTATTCCTTTGTAGGTAATTGGAGGCCTTTACAATTCCATACAGATCAGATTAACATATCGAATGATAACTATCATCAATCGAGCATTAACAAGGTTTAACAAAGTGAAACAAGGCCAATAACCCTAGAAGTAATTATTGTAAATTGCTGAAATTCAATAGGCTTCGTGGTTTCACTAATTTAAATAATGCATATAGATTTCAAAAAAATCGTCGGATGATAACTTTCAGGTTTGGAGTGTTCACAAGGTTCAATAAAGTGAAAAGAGCCATCATTCTAGACGTAATTAACGGAAATTCAATAGGATTCTTTTTTTTTTTTACTAAATTAAATGGCACATATAAATTTCATACAGATCGGAAGATAACTTTAGAGGTTAGAGCGTTCACAAAGTGCAACAAGGGCCATAACGTTATAAATGGAAATTTCTGAAATTTAATAAGATTCTTCTCTTTACTAATTTAAATAATGCATATAAATTTCAGAGATCGATAGATAACGTTTGATTTTAGAGCGTTCCAAAGGTGCAACAAAGTGAAACAAGGGCCATAACTCTAGACGTAATGAACAGAAATCATTGAAATTAAATAGGCTTCATCTCACTAATGTAAAACAATCGGATAATAACTTTTGGAGTTAGAGCATTCACAATAAATTGTGGATGACGGACTGACAGGGGCGACGGCAACATACGTCCACATTTCCATGTGGGTGTATAAAAATCATTGAAAGTCCACACTTGTTCGTCTTAAGACCTTGTATCAATCTAAAGTCAATCGAATATCACTTTAGCTTGTTGAGCATTCACAAGACATTTCAAAGTGATCAAGGGCCATAACTATGGCAGTAATTATCGGAAATCGTTTAATATCAATAGGATTCTTTGTCTCATGACCTTCAACACTCTGTATCAATTTAAAGTCAATCGTATATAAATTTAAAGTCAATCAGATATTATCTTAATCTCTAGAGCATCCACAAGGTATTTCAAAGTGATCAAGGGCCGTAACTCTGGCAGTAATTATCGGAAATCGTTGAAAATCAATAGGCTTCTTCGTCTCATGACCTTAAACACTGTGTATAAATTTAAAGTCAATAAGATATTAACTTTAGCCTCTAGAGCCTCCACAAGCATTTGTGGACGCCGGACGGACGGGCGGATGGACGGACGGGGGCAACAACAATATACGACCACATTTCAATGTGGGCGTTTAAAAACACAATTTTTCAAACAATCAGGGATATTCAGGGGCCATAATCCTCAAAGTTATGGTCCGATATACATGAATATCAAAAAGAACCCAGATCTTTGGAATATGAACATATCTTAAGTTCCATCGAAATCGAATAAAATTGTGACCTGTGCAGTATCCACAAACAACACAACTAAATAATGCCCGAGTTGTAGTGTATGATGTAACGGTGATATATTTGTTTTTTTCTTTTAAATAAGATAAAAACTGTCACCTCTATCCACAATATAAAAACACAATTTTTCATACAATCGGGGATATTCAGGGGCCATAATCCTCAAAGTTATGGTCTGATATGCATGAATATCAAAATGAACCAAGATCTTTGGAATATAAACATATCTTAAGTTCCATCAAAATCGAATAAAAATTGTGACCTGTGCAGTATCCACAAACAAAATGTGGACCTGTACGGGGCGAGGACAAGATACTTTTACACAATTTGCATATGGGGAGCGGTTATTTTGTTGGATAGTTTTGTTCCGATTTTCAATAAATTCGAATTGAACCATCATTATAGTGTAACAATGATATATATGGATCATTCCATGAAGTTGACACCTAAAGTGTGACATGGGCATTAAAATTTCAAAACGTATTTGGAGAGTAAATAACACATTGTTTTGTTTTGAATGTTTCCTAATATACCAATGTGGTAAAAATACCAGCGGCTGCCAGGCAGGATACGCCCACATTTTCGAGAGATGAATAGAGAACAAGCTAACAAGAAAGTGATTTTTCCTACTATCAAGGGCCATAATTCAGGAAATTACAATTCAATATGCGCGATTATCTTTGTGTTATAAACTTACATTTCAAGTTTCAACAAAATCGGATAAAAATTGTGACCTCTATAGGGTCCACAACCTTGATATACCATATTTTTACGCTATTTGAGAACGAACGGCAGCCATTTTGTATGTCAATTTTCACGAAATTCGAATTCAGTCGTCCTTAGGGTGTAATAGTGATATAATAATACAGTTATTTAAATTGGATAAAAATTATGACCTCTATAGGGTCCACAAGCTAAAAACGCGATTTTTCGTACAATCAGGGGCCATAATTCAGGAAGTTACGGTCCAATATGCGCGAATATCAAAAGGAACCGAGATCTTTGGGTTATAAACTTACATTTCAAGTTTGAACAAAATCGGATAAAAATTGTGACCTCTATAGGGTCCACAAGCTAAAAACGTGATTTTTCGTACAAACAGGGGCCATAATCCATGAAGTTTCGATCCGATACATGCCAATATCGAAAGCAGCTGAGATCTTTTGGAGATAAACCTATATTTCAAGTTTCGTCAAAATCGGATAAGAATTGTGACCTCTAGAGTGTCCACAAACAAATTGTGGACGGACAGGGGCGACGGCATCCCAAGGAGCTATCACCTTCAAATACAAATGATAATGTGGATGTTAGTCATGGATGTGACAAGCACAAGGGTCACCTGTCTAACCTTGTGGGTTTTGCCAAGGACTATCATTTACCCCCACTGCTAAAGCCCTATGCACAAGCCAATTATTGAAATAACCTCGAGTCGAGTGATCGCTAAAGTCTACCTCTCTCGAACAACCATCATTAAATAAGTTACGACTTTGGAAATATGATTTAATATTTCATCTATTATTCAACATGTAACACAGTGATCAGTTTAAAAACAAAGACAGAATAAAAATGCCATCAGAAATAAAATGGGGTTTAATGTAAATGACATAACAATAATGGTAAAATAATTGGACGGATAAAGCATCAATACTGATTTAATTCAATTGGACAGATAAAGCATCAATACTGATTTAATTCAAGTAACGACATGGGATTTGCATTAATCAGAAAATATCTTCTTCTTCGTAACCAATGCTAGTACTCAACATTGACTGACTTAATACTTAACTAAGAAATCAATACATCAGCACTAGATAATTTCCCTGCATAGATTTAGTCAAATTAAAATCAGACCAAGTCATCAGATGTTGCGAAACAAAGATGACGAAAGGCTCTTTTGGTCATCAGATTTTGTGAAACAAAGATGACAGAAGGCTTGTTTACATAGGGAGCAGCATTTTCATGTTGCGAACAGAATCAAACCAATTTTCAACTGCTATTCCTATTACAGATTCAAATAATAGTTCATTTTCCAACTAAAAATTCCCTGCTGTACATAAGCACTTGACATACATATGGCCAATCAACAACCTAGAAAGAAATTTAAACACAAGATTAATTCTACACTATTTTGGAATTCAATATACAACGTGTTTAGTACACTTATTTTCATCAACAGCCTTGAACAGGTATAGGTAAATAAGGATGACAGCATGCATAGAACCATGAAGTATTTCAAAAGATAATTTTTTTTGTAAAGATCTAACAAATAATTAAATAAGTGTGCCAGACAGGGGTTGTAGTCTGGAGGCTCAGCGCGGGGGTTGGGGGGGGGGGGGGGATCAAATGGGCACAAAACCAGAACCAACTTTTCTAGAGTAAAATTTTGCATAGAATATGATGCCGAGTGGTAATCAGTTCGCCGTTGGGGTGTTTTCGAGATATTCGGGGTCAAGGTCAAATGGGTTCATTTGCACTGAAAGTAAATGCGCAGTCATTCTTGTATCATGAAAATAAGCTGAAAACGATCGAAAGTGATCACACTTTCAATAACCAGCGGCTGCCAGGCAGGATACGCCCACATTTTCGAGAGATGGATAGAGAACAAGCTAACAAGAAAGTGATTTTTCCTACAATCAAGGGCCATAATTCAGGAAATTACAATTCGATATGCGCAAATATCGAAAGGAACTGAGATCTTTGTGTTATAAACTTACATTTCAAGTTTCAACAAAATCGGATAAAAATTGTGACCTCTATAGGGTCCACAAGCTAAAAACGTGATTTTTCGTACAACCAGGGGCCATAATTCAAGAAGTTACGGTCCGATATGCAAAAATATCGAAAGGATAGAGTGTAACGGTGATATAATGATACGTTTTTTTTAAATCGGATAATAATTGAGACCTCTATAGGGTCCACAACCTTGAAATACCATATTTTTACGCTATTTGAGAACAAACAGCAGCCATTTTGTCTGTCAATTTTGAGGTGATTTTCACAAAATTCGAACTCGGCTATCCTTAGGGTTTAATGGTGATATAATAATACGTTTTTTTAAATCGGATAAAAATTATGACCTCTATAGGGTCCACTAGCTAAAAACTTGATTTTTTGTACAATCACGGGCCATAATTCAGTAAGTTACAGTCCGATATGCGCGAATATCGAAAGGAACTAAGATCTTTGTGTTATATACTTACATTTCAAGTTTCAACAAAATCGGACAAAAATTGTGACCTCTATAGGGTCCACAACCTTGATATACCATATTTTTATGCTATTTGAGAACGAACAGCAG